TGTATAGCCTTACCTTATACACATCTCCTAAAAAGCCTGCATATTACTATTTATCCTTACGGTTTAACTATTGCATATATTGCTAGGATATTATTGAGAACTACCCACATTCATACTTTCTAATTATTGAGTTCCCTTTTTGATTCATTTCCACTTCATTTATCATGTCAAATTATCATAAGCATATCGAACTATCTTGACAAAACTATTATTTCCTAGAAGTCATATTGGTAGGAAGACTTAAAGAAACGCACCTAGTCCGAAGTCCATTTTATGCATAATCATTTCCAAAGTCGGACCGTCAACATGGTACATTCCCAGACGTTTCGCCGGCATCGTAGTCGGCATCATCAGTGAGTATCGTCATTCGTAACACCATATTACAACTCGTCAAAGAGACAAGTGAAGCCGATCCTTTGACCAAACGTGTGCTAAATAGTTGTGGTATCTCCCCTTCTGCGCTGGGCTATTCTCATTTCCAATATAGTCCTATCATGCCTTACCTGTCAACAATTTTACCGTGCTTATTTTTAGTGTAGTTTGGTGTGCTCCTTCGAGCGGCATTCATGAAAACGCATTACATTAAAAATAAGCACGTTAAAACTTTTGACAGGGAAGGCATGATAGGACGATATAGGAAATGTGAATAGCCCAGGGCAGAAGGGGTGATACCACAACTGTTTAGCACACGTTTGGTCAAAGGATGGGCTTCACTTGTCTCTTTGACGAGTTGTTGTATGGTGTTAAGAATGGCGAGACTCACTGAAGATGCCGGCGAAACGCCTTGAAATGTACCACGTCCGTGGTCCTACTCTGGAAATGATGATGCATACAATATACTCCGGACTAGATGCGTTCCTCTAAGTTTTTCTACCAATATGACCGAGTTGCGAAAACAAGATCAAACAACTTCTATAGAACGAAAGGAGACTGCGACCACACAAAAGGCAACACCATTTTGGTCTTCCTACCTTCGATTAAACTATTATTTCCTGTTTTCATTCTTAACTAATTTATTAAGTGACTCTCAGAGAGATGCTTAGAAACTTTTATTTACGCCAATTATTGTAAAGCCTAATCTTATAGGATCGTGCTTATTAGCTTTTACCCTTTCATCCCATCTTCTGCGGCAGGGTATTTACTTGGGCTGCCGTTTTGGCCTGGCTGCATTATTCATCTGGGCAATCGGCATTCTCGCTGCGGGTCAATCTTCTACCATGACTGGAACCTACTCTGGACAATTCGTGATGGAAGGATTCTTATCGCTCACTTGGAAACGCTGGCAAAGGGTTTTGCTTACGCGTTCTATTGCTATAATGCCCACCATCCTGGTTGCTGTCTTTTCGGGTTAGTAACCCAGAGTAACGGCTTTTAGTCTGAATACATTTACAAATTTTAGCATTTCTTATCGCTTTCAAATGTTAAAGACTTTTATCTCTACGATGGGAAGCTGGGTTTCGAAGAATGCCTTAATAGGGTGATGCTGACTCACCATTCCCATCGTCTGACGGGGTGAGTGCAAAGAAACCGTAAATTTGTCTCTGGAAGCCGAAAGTGTTGCGATTTGTGGACTTGTGAGAATAAGTCCACGATGCACTCCCTCAACCCGTATGAATATGTGATGAACTTTTGTATGTAATTTCAAAGACCAGGAGACCACGCTTTAAGGAAGCAATATGGATAAGATTGATAATATAGCTACATTTTATCTATCCCCTTGCTTTTTTTAGTTCATTGTATCACAAAGATATGACTTGGTATGTAAGTTGCGTCTTGCACTTTC